CCCCGGAGTGTGGTGGAGGCTCCTTCTTTGGAAGCTTTTAAACAGAGGCTGGATGGCCATCTGTCAGGGGTGATTTGAATGCAATATTCCTGCTTCTTGGCAGGGGGTTTGACTGGATGGCCCATGAGGTCTCTTCCAACTCTTTGATTCTATGATTCTATGATTCTAGGGCCAGCTGACACCTCCCAACAAAGGACCCCCAAGCAGGAAGCAGTCAGACCTTGAAGCTGCAAGGCTATGCAATGCTAATTAATTTACATTGCCCAATTTCCCAGTGTTTTAAATTTTTTATCCTTAAATTTGGCCCTGCCCCGTGTAATCCTGTGTGTTTAATGTCCGATTTTATACTGCTGTCTCGCTTATTATTTTGGTTTTGCATTTTATTCTGTTATGCTTTTGTGTTTTCTAGTCTCCAGGGCAGCAGAAAACAAACTTGCTCGCTCCTCCCTGTAACTTCTTCTCACATATTTATACATGGCTATCATGTCTCCTCTCAGTCTTCTCTTCTTCAGGCTAAACATGCCCAGCACTTTAAGCCGCTCCTCATAAGGCTTGTTCTCCAGACCCTTGATCATTTTAGTTGCCCTTCTCTGGACACATTCCAGCTTGTCAATTCTCACATATTTATACATGGCTATCATGTCTCCTCTCTGCCTTCTTCAGGCTAAACATGCCCAGCTCTTTAAGCCACTCCTCATAGGGCTTGTTCTCCAGACCCTTGATCATTTTAGTCGCCCTCCTCTAGACGACTTGGTTACACCACATCTGGAATACTGTGTCCAATTCTGGGCACCACAATAGAAGGGAGATGTTGACTTAAAGCTGGAATGTGTCCAGAGGAGGGTGACTGAAAGGATACGAGAGACGGGTTATTCTTAGTGGTGGCTCCTCGCCTCTGGAACTCCCTCCCAAATGAAATTAGATCAGTACCCTCCCTCCTGGCATTCAGAAAAAAGGAAAACTTGGCTATGGGACCAATCCTTTGGCCAATAAGCTATACAAGGAATTATTAGGAATATTTGGATATTGATATTTGGAACGGCCTTGGACCGTGGTTTTTTGATTATGTGATTTTAATGTTTATACTAGCTGTCCCCTGCCATGCATTGCTGTGGCCCAGTCTGGTGATCTGGAAAATAAAGAGAAAGTGTTGGTTTCTAATATATGTAATTTCTTTATGCTTGTGTTGATGTAGAGATTGTCTGGTTGGCCTACTCTGGAACATGCAATATATAATTGTCCTTGTTTAGGGGTCCCTTTCACATCTATCATACTATGTGTATGCATGTTTGTGTGAATAATGTCTTTCTATCTATATATATGGCTGGATGGCTCTTTGTCAGGAGGGCTTTGATTATGTTTTCTTCCCCTGATGAAGGGAGTTGGACTGGATGGCCTTAATTATTTTCTGTTGGTCATGGGGGTTCTGTGTGGGAAGTTTGTCCCAATTCTGTCGTTGGTGGGGTTCAGAATGCTCTTTGATTGTAGGTGCACTATAAATCCCAGTAACTACAACTCCCAAATGTCAAGGTCTATTTCCCCCATACTCCACCAGTGTTCACATTTGGGCATATGGAATATTTGTGACAAGTTTGGTCCAGATCCATCATTGTTTGATTCCACAGTGCTCTCTGGATGTAGGTGAACTACAACTTCCAAACTCAAAGTCAATGCCCACCAAACCCTTGTAGTGTTTCCTGTTGGTCATAGGAGAGTCGTGTGCCACGTTTGGCCCAATTCCATCATCAATGGAGTTCAGAATACTCTTTGATCATAGGTGAACTATAAATCCCAGCAACTACAACTCCCAAATGACAAAATCGTTGTTTTTTTAGTGATGGTCACTCCTTGGGTTAGTAGGTGTCTTGTGGCCAAATTTGGCGGCAGTTCGTCCAGTGGTTTTTGAGTTATGTTAATCCCACAAACAACATTACATTTTTATTATATAGACTAGCTGTACCCCACATTGCTGTGGCCAACCTTCCCTCCCTCTTTCTCTCCTTCTTCCCTTCCTTTCCCTTTTTCTTTCTTTCTCTCCTTCCTTCCTTCTCTACCTCTTTCCTTCCTCCTTTTCCTTTTCCTTCCCTTTCTCTCCTTTCTTCCTTCTCTACCTCTTTTCTTCCTTGCTTTTTTGCTTCCATCCTTCCTTCTGTCTTTCCTCTTCTCCCTCCCTCTTTCTCTCCTTCTCCTTCTCTACCTTCTTTTCCCTCCTTCTTTCTCTTTTTCCTTCCTTCCTTCTCTCCTTTTCTTTCCTTCCCCATTTTTCTTTTCCTCTTTCTCTTCTCTGCCTCTTTCCTTCCTTCCTTTGCTTTTTGCTTCCATCCTTCTTTCTTTCTCTTTCATTCTCTCCCTCTTTCTCTTTCCTTCTTCCTTCCTCCCTCTTTCCTTCCTTTCCTTTTTTCCTTCCTTCTCTCCTCCTTCCTTCTCTACCCCTTTCTTTTCCCCCTTTTTCTTTTCCTCTTCTCTCCTTTCTTCCTTCTCTACCTCTTTGCTTCCTTCTTCCTTCTCCTTCCTTCCTTCCTTCCTCCTTCCTTCCTTCCTTCCTCCTTCCTTCTTCTTTCTCCCTTCCTTCCCTCCCTCCTCTCTCCTTTTTTTCTGTATTGTCATTTAGCTTATCATTTAGCTTTTTGGGGTTTTTAAGTCCTTTCCACTGTTTTTTTTTGGGGGGGGGGGTTATGAGTGATGGTCACTCATTGGTCTGTTAGGGGTGTTGTGTCCAAATTTTGTGTCATTTCGTCCAGTGGTTTTTGAGTTATGTTAATCCCACAAACCAACATTACATTTTTATTTATATAGACTAGCCGTCCCCTGCCACACGTTGCTGTGGCCCACATGGGGGTTCTGTGTGGGAGGATTGGCCCAATTCTATCGTTGGTGGGGTTCAGAATGCTCTGTGATTGTAGGTGAACTATAAATTCCAGCAACTGCAATTCCCAAAGGTCAAGGTCTATTTTCCCCAAACTCCACCAGTGTTCTCATTGGGGCATATTGAGTATTCATGTAGAGTTTGGTCCAGATCCATCATTGTTTGAGTGATCTCTGGATGTAGGTGAACTACAACTCCAAAACCAAAGGACACTGCCCACCAAACCCTTCCAGTATTTTCTTTTGGTCATGGGAGAACTGTGTGCCAAGTTTGGTTCAATTCCATCGTTGGTGGGGTTCAGAATGCTCTTTGATTGTAGGTGAACTATAAATCCCAGCAACTACAACTCCCAAATGACAAAATCAATTTTTTGAGTGAAGGACATACATTGGGTTGTTAGGTGTCTTGTGTCCAAATTTGGTGTCAATTCGTCCAGTGGTTTTTGAGTTGTTAATCCCACAAACCAACATTACATTTTTATTTATATAGACTAGCTGTACCCGCCACGTGTTGCTGTGGCCAACCTTCCCTCCCTCTTTCTCTCCTTCTTTCCCTCCTTCCTTCGCTCCCTCTTTCCTTCCTTCCTTCCTTCCTTTTTTTCTTTCTTTCTCTCCTTCTTTCCTTCTCTACCTCTTTCCTTCCTCTCTTTTCCTTTTCCTTCCCTTTCTCTCCTTTCTTCCTTCTCTACCTCTTTCCTTCCTTTACTTTTTGCTTCCTTCTGTCTTTCTTTCCTGCCCTCCCTCTTTCTCTCCTTTCTTCCTTCTCTACCTCTTTCCCTCCTTCCATCGTTCCCTTTCCTTCCTTTCCTTCTTTCCTTCCTTTCTTCTCTACCCCTTTCTTTCCTTCCCCTTTTTTCTTTTCCTCTTTCTCTTTTCTTCCTTTTCTACCTCTTTCCTTCCTTCATTTGCTTTTTGCTTCCACCCTTCCTTCTGTCTTTCCTTCCCTCCCTCTTTCTTTCCTTTCTTCCTTCGCTCCCTCTTTCCTTTTTTCCTTTCCTTCTCCCCTTCCTTCCTTCTCTACCCTTTTCTTTCCTTCCCTTTTTTCCTCTTTCTCACCTTTCTTCCTTCTCTACCTCTTTGCTTCTGTGCTTCCTTCTCTTTCCTTCCTTTCTTCCTTCTTACTTTCTCCTCTTCCTTCCTTCCTTCTTACTTTCTCCCCTTCCTTCCTTCCTTTCTTTCTCCTTCCTTCCTCCTTCCTTCCTTCCTTCCTTCCTTCCTTCCTTCCTCCTTCCTTCCTTCCTCTTCTTTCTTTCTCCCCTTCCTTCCTTCCTTCCTTCCTTCCCTTCCTTCCTTCCTTCCTTCCTTCCTTCCTTCCTTCCTTCCTTCTTACTTTCTCCCCTTCCTTCCTTCCTTCCTTCCTTCCTTCTTACTTTCTCCTTTTCCTTCCTTCCTTCCTTCCTTCCTTCCTTCCTTCCTTCCTTCTTTCCTTCTTCTTTCTCCCCTTCTCTTCCTTCCTTCCTTCCTTCCTTCCTTCCTTCCTTCCTTCCTTCCTTCCTTCCTTCCTTCCTTCTTCTTTCTCCTTTTCCTTCCTTCCTTCCTTCCTTCCTTCCTTCCTTCCTTCCTTCCTTCCTTCCTTCTTTCCTTCTTTCTTTCCTTCCTTCCTTCCTTCCTTCCTTCCTTCCTTTGTTTTGCGTGTGTATGAATGTGTATATATGTGGTTTTGTGCATGCGTTGTAATATAGATTTTTAATTTTTTTGGCTTTTTAAGTCTCTTCCACTGGTTTTTTTGGGGGGGATTATGAGTGATGGTCACTCATTGGTCTGTTAGGGGTGTTGTGTCCAAATTTTGTGTCATTTCGTCCAGTGGCTTTTGAGTTCTGTTAATCCCACAAACGAACATTACATTTTTATTTATATAGATTAACATGTTTTTAACTCCACGTTTTAACGTTTAAATGCCGTTACATGTTATGATCTAATCCATAGTTATTGTTGGTTTGTGTTGGGTATCATATTATGTGAGGCATTACATTTTACCATATATATGTGGGAAACCGCTTGGAGTCCCCCCTTGGGGTGAGAAAAGAGATATACAAGCGAAGTAAATAAATAAATAGAATGGACCCTGTGATTTCTGACTACAGCTATCAGAGCCTATTTGTGTCTGACTCCACTGTTTTCCATTCTTTCTTCAGCTTTTCCGGGAAGTGCGAATAATGAAGGTCTTGAATCATCCCAATATAGGTAAGATCTCAATGGATAGAGAGGCCCTTTCCTTCAGTAATTTCTTTATCTCCCTTTCTTCCCTCGACGTTCAGTGCTTCCTTTGCAAACAAAGGGTCATTCTAAATCCCTATAGTGGCCTTCCCCCAACCCCATGCTCTTTGGATGGACTGGGCACCAACCACCATCATCCCCATTTATTTATCGTGTCAGGAGCAAACCAAACAGTTGTATTGCATTTTTAACAAACAAACAAAACACAAAGTTTGCAAGCTTGGTATTCTATTAAATGTCCTTTGACCAGTATCTGGCCACTTGGAGTGCCTCTGGTGTTGCTGCAAGAAGGTTCTCCATTGTGCATGTATGTGGCAGGGCTCAGGTTGCATTGCAGCAGGTGGTCAGTGGTTTGCTCTTCTCCACACTCGCATGTCGTGGATTCCACTTTGTCCCCATTTCTGAAGGTTGGCTCTGCATCTCGTGGTGCCAGAGCGCAGTCTGTTCAGCGCCTTCCAAGTCGCCCAGTCTTCTGTGTGCCCAGGGGGGAGTCTCTCATTTGGTATCAGCCATGGGTTTGAGCCTGCCACTTTTGGACTCTCGCTTGCTGAGGTGTTCCAGCGAGTGTCTCTGTAGATCTTAGAAAACTATTTCTTGATTTAAGTCGTTGACGTGCTGGCTGATACCCAAACGGGATGAGCTGGAGATGTCTCTGCCTTGGTCCTTTCACTATTGGCGGATGTCAGGTGGTGCAATACCGGCTAAGCAGTGTAATTTCTCCAGTGGTGTAGGGCGCAGACACCCCGTGATAATGCGGCATGTCTCATTAAGAGCCACATCCACTGTTTTAACGTGGTGAGATGTGTTCCACACTGGGCATGCGTACTCAGCAGGAGAGTAGCACAGCGCAAGGGCAGATGTCTTCACTGTGTCTGGTTGTGATCCCCAGGTTGTGCCAGTCAGCTTTCGTATGATATTGTTTCTAGCACCCACTTTTTGCTTGATATTCAGGCAGTGCTTCTTGTAGGTCAGAGCACGGTCCAGAGTGACTCCCAGGTATTTGGGTGTGCAATGCTCCAGTGGGATTCCTTCCCAGGTAATCCTCAGAGCTCGGGATGCTTGTCTGTTCTTAAGGTGAAAGGCACATGTCTGTGTTTTAGATGGGTTAGGAATCAGCTGGTTTTCCCTGTAATAGGCAGTAAGAGCACCTAGAGCTTTGGAGAGCTTCTGTTCCACCATCTCAAAGCTCCCTGCTTGAGCGGTGATGGCACGATCATCAGCATAGATGAAGCTCTCTGTCCCTTCTGGCAGTGGCTGGTCATTTGTGTAGATGTTGAACATGGATGGCGCAAGCACGCTCCCCTGAGGCAGGCCGTTCTTCTGTTTCCGCCATCTGCTTCTCTGGCCCTGGAACTCAACAAAAAAGCTCCTGTTTTGTAGCAGGTTTCCTATGAGGCGGGTGAGGTGGTAGTCCTTTGTGATATTATACATTTTTCTCAGGAGGAGGTGGTGGTTTACAGTATCGTAAGCCGCTGACAGGTCTATCCCCAGATAGCATAGGAATAACTGAGGCAAATAAGAGTTGCAGTGCAACACATTTGGAGAGCATCAGACTGGAAAAGGCTGCCTTACAGCGTTAGTTCTTGCATGGTAATTATTGTTAAGGCCTTTAAGTTAGCAGTCATTATGTGTTGGCGAATTCAAAAAATTAATTAACGTATACACCCGAAGATCTGAAAAACTCTCCCTTGGCTTACAATGGGATCAAGCTGGGCAGCAAAACCTGGAGGCCATTGCTTGCAATGTGATCTATTTCTCTCTCCTCTTCCCCTCCCTGAATAGTGTGTTTTCTTTTCTGCTTCGGCTCTGCTTCTCCTCCCAAGCTAGAATGTTTTGAAAAGGGAAAGGAGGGGGAGAGAAGCCCTTGCAAATCAGGAATGCCCATTCATCTTATCAAAGCATTTTCCCCTGGAATATTCGTTAATCTTGCCTACAGATATATAGGCATTTCCCCCTGCAAGCCTTTGCAAATGCTATGTACCTATATATTATCTGTATCTATATACATTACTTTTATATATGAAATTTCCCCTCATATGTTTGTAGGTCTTTGCAAATCCTATATACATAGAGATATCTAGAAATTTCCATGTGCCTATATGTATACATTATTTTTATATATGAATTTTCCGCTCACATGTTTGCAAGTCTCTGCAAATCCTATATAGAGATAGATATCTATAAATATATAGAGGTATCTATATATCTGTACATCTGTGTATATATAAAAATAATTTTATATATGAATTTTCCCCTCACATGTTTGCAAATCTTTGCAAATCCTATATAGATATAATTATCTATATATAGGGAGATGTCCAGATAAATAGATGTGAATATAGATATATAGGGCTTGCAAATATTACAGGGGGAAGTGCACACACAAATATACATAGAAAGTCTCAATAGATGTGTGTGTGTATAGAACTTTCAAATATTGCATGGGAAATGCAGAAACACAGACATATATATATAGAGAGAGAGGGGGGATGTCTAGATAGATATAAACATGGATATATAGGGCTTGAAGTACTTTGGCCACATCATGAGGAGACAGGAAAGCCTAGAGAAGACAATTATGCTGGGGAAAGTGGAAGGCAAAAGGAAGAGGGGCCGACCAAGGGCAAGATGGATGGATGGCATCCTTGAAGTGACTGGACTGACCTTGAGGGAGCTGGGGGTGGTAACGGCCGACAGGGAGCTCTGGCGTGGGCTGGTCCATGAGGTCACGAAGAGTCGGAGACGACTGAATGAATGAACAACAACATATAGGGCTTGCAAATATTACAGGGGGAAAACACACATACAAATATATATAGACATGTCTAGATAGACGTGAATATAGATATAGGGCTTGCAAATATTACAGGGGGGATACACACACACAAATATATATAGACATGTCTAGATAGATGTGAATATAGATATATAGGACTTGCAAATATTACAGGGGTAAAGGCACACACAAATATATATAGACATGTCTAGTTAGATATGAATATAGATATATACAACTTGCAAATATTATAGGGGGAAATGCACACACAAATATATATAGACATGTCTAGATAGATATGAATATAGATATATAGGGCTTGCAAATATTACAGGGGGAAATGCACACAAAAATATATAGATATGTGTAGATAGATATGAATTTATAAATATAGATATATAGGGCTTGCAAATATTACAGGGAAAATGCACACACAGACATATAGAGAGAGATGTCTAGATAGATATAAACATAGATATATAGGGCTTGCAAATATTGCAGGAGGGAAATGCACACACAAATATGTATAGGCATGTTTCGATAGATATGAATTCAGATATATAGATATATAGGGCTTGCAAATATTACAGGGAAAATGCACACAGACATATAGAGAGATGTCTAAATAGATATAAACATAGATATATAGGGCTTGCAAATATTGCAGGAGGGAAATGCACACACAAATATATATAGGCATGTTTCGATATATATGAATTTAGATATATAGATATATAGGGCTTGCAAATATTACAGGGAAAATGCACACAGACATATACATGTCTAAATAGATATAAACATAGACATATAGGGCTTGCAAATATTGCAGGAGGGAAATGTATACACAAATATATAGAGAAATGTCTAGATAGATATGAATATAAATATATAGGGCTTGCAAATATTGCAGGGGAAATGCACACACAGAGAGAGATATATATAGAGGTGTCTAGATAGATATAAACGTAGATATATAGGGCTTGCAAATACTTCAGGAGGAAAATGCACATATAGAGAAAGAGGATTTGCAACTTTTTCAGGGGGAAATGCGTATGTGAAATGAGTATATATAATTATAGATCTATATCTAGCTCTGCATTGTTTATATAGGCATTAAATATTTGCCTGTTACTATGCTGAAAGCTGACCTTCTATCTGTTTGTCTTGCAGTTAAATTATTTGAAGTCATAGAAACAGAGAAGACACTGTACCTCGTCATGGAGTATGCCAGTGGAGGTAAGTGTTTGTTTTCAAGGCTATTCAAAGACCCATTGGAGGAACGATCCTTATTCTGGGAGCCAGTTTGGTGGCTCCAAAGGCTGTGACTTTATTAGCCAGGCCTCACAACTAGCTTCTAGTTTTCCTTTGTTGATAATTCGGAAGAGGGATAGGTGGGGTAGTTGATACAGGCCGATCTGGAAAAGTGACTCTGTGGTGTCAAGAGTGAGGAGATGCGGAAGGAAAGATAAGCTTTTGTTACAGGTGTCCCCATTTGCTTTGATTTCAACCACTATTATTCAGGTTTGATAGCAGAAGCACACTGTGTCAAATTGGGAGCTTCATGTCCTAATCATGGTTTGCTTTTCATGTTTTGTAGGGGAAGTGTTTGACTACTTAGTAGCCCATGGAAGAATGAAAGAGAAGGAAGCACGGGCAAAATTCCGACAGGTTGGTGGATCCTTTCTTTATGTTAACAGTTCCAGAGCTTTTGTTGTCCACAAACAATTCAGTTTTCCATTATCTCATTGCATTTTCGGTGAACTTTCTAATATTTTCACAAACCCCAATGACATCTAGACATTTGATAATCCAACAGTGTGACAGTGAGTCAAATGCTTTTTTGTAATCAAATTTTATAGAGGTTTGTTTTGATTATGATTATGATTATTATGCTGATCAAGGTTGACAATTGCAACATCGCCTCATAGAATCATCGAATCATAGAATCCTAGAGTTGGAAGAGACCTCATGGGCCATCTAGTCCAACCCCATTCTGCCAAGAAGCAGGAAAATTACATTCAAAGCACCCCTGACAGATGGCCATTCAGCCTCTGTTTAAAAGCTTCCAAACAAGGAGCATCCACCACACTCCGGGGCAGAGAGTTCCACTGCTGAACAACTCTCACAGTCAGGAAGTTCTTCCTCGTGTTCAGGTGGAATCTCCTTTCTTGTAGTTTGAAGCCATTGTTCCATTGCGTCCTAGTCTCCAGAGCAGCTGAAAACAAGCTGTGACTTCCTCTCACATATTTATACATGGTTATCATGTCTCCTCTCAGCCTTCTCTTCTTCAAGCTAAACATGCCCAGCTCTTTAAGCCGCTCCTCATGGGGCTTGTTCTCCAGACCCTTGATCATTTGAGTCGCCCTCCTCTGGACACATTCCAGCTTGTCAATATCTCCCTTCAATTGTGGTGCCCAGAATTGGACACAATATTCCAGATGTAGTCTGACCAAGGCAGAATAGAGCATGGGGAGCATGACTTCCATGGATCTAGACCAAGGTCCGAACGGATTCTCCCCTATGAACCATCAAGGTTTTTAAGATCTTCCGGGGGGGCTGCTCTCGATCCCACCACTGTCACAATCGCGGTTGGTGGGGACGAGAGACAGGGCCTTCTCGATGGTGACTCCCCGGCTTTGGAACTCCCTCCCACAGGAGATAAGAACGGCTCCCTCCCTCCTGATGTTCAGGAATTTAACAAAGACTTGGCTATGGAATGCGGCCTTTGACAACTGAGTCAACTCTGGTCCACATGGAAGGAGAATGATTCTATGATTCTAGGGCCGGATTATAATTTGGAGAAAAAAAAACATGAATGAATTCCTATGCACTCTGCACATATCTTATTTTTGTGCAAAAACCACTTAAAACATACAATAATTAAAATGAAGAACCATTTTAACAAATATAAACTTATTAGTATTTCAATGGGAAGTGTGGGGCTGCTTTTGGCTGATGAGATAGGATTGTTGTTGTTGTTGTCTGCTTTCAAGTCATTTCAGATTTAGGTTGACCCGGGCAAATGACCTTGGAGGGCCATATTCAGCCCTCGGGCCTTAGTTTGAGGACCCCTGATCTAGACACTAGATTCCTCTTGATGCAGGCCAAAATCCCATTGGCTTTTTTTGCCGCAGCATGACATTGTTGGCTCATGTTTAACTTGTTGTCCACGAGGACCCCAAGATCTTTTTCACACGTCCTGCTCTCGAGCCAGGCATTGTCCCCCATTCTGTATCTTTGCATTTCATTTTTTTTCTGCCTAAGTGGAGTCTCTTGCACTTCTATCCCTTTCCATTCCAGCAGTTCACCCATGCATCAGACAGGACTAAAGGGATAGCGGAGGTGTCTGCTCCTGTCTGTTTAGTGACCATGGAGCAAGAATCATAGAATGGTTCCAGTCAATCTCTGTTGTCTTGGTGTGGAAATGCTCTCCTGACTGTTCCTGTTCTCTCTCTTTTTCAGATAGTTTCTGCTGTGCAGTACTGTCACCAAAAGTTCATTGTACATAGAGACTTGAAAGTGAGTAACAAATATATAAAACACTTATGTGCAAGTGAATGTATAGTCCAGCTTATCTGTGCTAACGCTACCATATATATATTGGCACCCCCGGTGGCGCAGTGGGTTAAACCCCTGTGCCGGCAGGACTGAAGACCGACAGGTCGCAGGTCCGAATCCAGGGAGAGACGGATGAGCTCCCTCTATCAGCTCCAGCTCCTCATACGGGGACATGAGAGAAGCCTCCCACAAGGATGATAAAAACATCAAATCATCCGGGCGTCCCCTGGGCAACGTCCTTGCAGATGGCCAATTCTCTCACACCAGAAGCGACTTGCAGTTTCTCAAGTCGCTCCTGACACGACAAAAAAACCAAAACCATATATACTTGGGTATAAGCAGAGCTTTTTTGCCTTTTTGTTTAGGCTGAAAAAAAAACCCTTGACTTATTCTCGAGTCAAAGTTATTTATTATTTTACTGGGTTATTATTAATATTATATTCATTATTTTACTCTGTTTATTATTATTATTACAGTTGCATTATTTTACTTGATTATTATTATTATTATTATTATTACATTTATTATTTTATTCTATTATTGTTATTACATTTATTATTTTACCCTATTTATCGTTATTATTATTACATTTATTATTTCACTCTCTTTATTATTACTACACTAGCTTGGGGACCCGGCGGTGCCCGGGTTATTTGAGAAAGGCATTTTTTTTGTCTGTGCTCCAAGTTTAGTCTAAAAACAGTTTTAAAACACTGGATGAGAATTTATTTATTTATTTATTTATTTGCAGCTTTTATATTCCGCCCTTCTCACCCCGCAGTGGACTCAAGGCGGATTACAGTGTACACATATATGGCAAACATTCAATGCCAATTTTTGACATACAAACATATACAGACATACACAGAGGCTATTTAACTTTTTCTGGCCGCCAGGGGAGCTGTCGCTTTCATCATCCATCTGCGACGCTGATGAAGCACTTCCGCATTCCCCGCATGCTTCCCCACTGGAATGCTTTGCTGGAGTCTTCTTTATGGCCTCATAAATCAGTTAATTTAGCCTCCCCACACTTTAAGGTGGTACCTAATTTTCCTACTTGACAGATGCAATTGTCTTTCGGGTTGCAAAGGTCGACAACAGGCTACACACAATTGGTTGGAAACCCACTCCAACCCGGGCTGGCTTCGAACTCATGACCTTTTTGGTCAGAGTGATCTTAATGCAGGTAACACTCAACCAGCTGCGCCACAATCCCGGTGCATTGTATTGCATCTGGACAGAGGATCATAGAGATGAAAATAGGGTTTAATTGCACTAGTAAGTAGAAAATAAAGTGTTTCTGAGGACAATTATTTTGCAGGGTTTAGTCAGGGAGTTGGATTTTATTTTTTTCTTTTAATTATTATTATTTTTATTTTATACCCCGCATACTAGACGACCCCCGACTTTTTATAAGATTTTCCAGTGTTTAAAAGTCGTCTAATATGCGGGAACATGCGGTAATTGTGGTGCCTTAGCATTGGTTGACTTTTGTTTTTGCCGCTTCTGAATCAACGTTCTCCTCTTTCTTTCCAGGCAGAGAATCTGCTCCTAGATGCCGATATGAACATTAAAATTGCAGATTTTGGTTTCAGCAATGAGTTCACGTTTGGCAACAAGCTTGATACGTTTTGCGGGAGCCCCCCGTATGCCGCCCCCGAGCTTTTCCAGGGCAAGAAGTACGATGGACCCGAGGTCGATGTCTGGAGCCTCGGGGTCATCCTTTACACACTGGTCAGCGGCTCACTGCCCTTTGATGGGCAGAACCTCAAGGTAAGGCGGGGCAAGAGCAGTGCTTTGCTCTCTTCAAAGCTGGTGGTTGTGCCTGATACCATCGACCATGGTATCCTTCTGGGGCGGCTCTCCGGAATGGGTCTTGGGTGCATTGCTCTGCAGGCTCTGCTCCTTCCTGGAGGGTCGCTCCCAGTTGGTGAAGCTGGGGGATACCTGCTCGGATCCATGGCCTTTATTTATTTATTTACGGCATTTATATGCTGCTCTTCTCAACCCGAAGGGGACTCAGAGCGGCTTACAAGATACATATACATACAATATATTATATTATTAGCATAGCACAATATCAGTATTATATATTAGTACTAGCCGTCCCCTGCCACGCGTTGCTGTGGCCCAATCTGGTGAACTGGAAAATAAAGTAATGAGAAAGTGTTGGTTTCTAATATATGTAGTTTCTTGATGCTTGTGAGTAAACAGTATTTCTTGCTGTGTCTTTGTCAGTGTTGATGTGGAGAGTGTCTGGTTTGCCTACTCTGGAACATGCAACATATCATTATCCTTCTTTAGGGGTCCCTTTCACAGATACTATATCTGTGTGTGAGAGAATCATATATTTCTATCTATATCTATGGCTGGATGGCTCTTTGTCAGGAGGGCTTTGATTACGTTTGCTTGTCCTCATGAAGGGAGTTGAATGGCCTTAAGTATTTTGTGTTGGTCATGGGGGTTCTGTGTGGAAGGTTTGCCCCAATTCTATCGTTCGTGGGGTTCAGAATGCTCTTTGATTGTCGGTGAACTATAAATCCCAGTAACTACAAATCCCAAATGTCAAGGTCTATTTTCCCCAAACTCCATCTGTGTTCATATTTGGGCACATGGAATATTCGTGCCAAGTTTGGTCCAGATCCATCATTGAGTTCACAGTGCTCTCTGGATGTAGGTGAACTACAACTCCCAAACTCAAGGTCAATGCCCACCAATCCCTTCTAGTGTTTTCTGTTGATCATGGGAGTCCTATCTGCCAAGATTGGTTCAATTCCATCGTTGGTGGAGTTCAAAATGCTCTTTGATTGTAGGTGAACTATAAATCCCAGAAACTACAACTCCCAAATGACAAACTCAATTTTTTTGAGTGGAGAACATACATTGGGTTGTTAGGGGTATCGTGTCCAAATTTGGTGCCAATTGCCCCAGTGGTTTTTGAGTTCTGTGAATACCACAAACGAACATTACATTTTTATTTATATAGATATTGTACTATACATTGTACTGTAATATTATTAGTAATATTACATCTGTATATAAACAAAGTTTTTATTTTATTTTATTATTATTATAAGTTTTCTCTGTGATGAAGTTTTCTCTATGACGGTCTGGATGAGGGCAAGCAAACTGGAGTTGAATCCAGACAAGACAGAGGTCCTCCTGGTCAGTCGCAAGTCCGAACAGGGTACAGCTGGATGGGGTTACACTCCCCTTGAAGGCACAGATTTGCAGCTTGGGGGTCCTCCTGGACTCATTACTGAGCTTGCAATCCCAGGTTACAGTGGTGACCAGGGGAGCTTTCGCATAATTAAAACTTGTGCGCCCGCTGTGCCCATACCTTGGGAAGTCAGACTTGGCCACAGTGATCCACGCTCTCGTTACATCTAGAATAGACTACTGCAACGCACTCTACGTGGGGTTGCCTTTGAAGACTGCTCGGAAGCTTCAAATAGTCCAACGAGAGGCAGCCAGGTTAATAACTGGGGCGGCATACCGGGAGCACACAACTCCCATGTTACGCCAGCTCCACTGGCTGCCAGTTTGCTACCGGGCACAATTCAAAGTGCTGGCTTTGGCCTATAAAGCCCTAAACGGCCCTGGCTCAAATTACTTGTCCGAACGCATCTCTCCCTATGAACCATCGCGGAGATTAAGATCCTCTGGCAAGGCCCTGCTTTCCGTCCCGCCATTGTCACAGGCACGATTGGTGAAGCTGGGAGACGCCTGCTCGGACCCCTGGCCTTTGACCTGTTGGGTCCCACAAGGCTCTATTTTGTCTCCCATGCTTTTTAACATCTACATGAAACTGCTGGGAGAGGTCATCCAGAGTTTTGGAGTTGGGTGCCATCTCTATGCAGATGACACACAACTCTACTACTTCTTTCCACCAAACTCCAAGGAAGCCCCTCGAGTGCTGGACGAGTGCCTGGTCGCTGTGGCTGTCTGGATGAGGATGAACAAGCTGAAGATTAATCCCGACAAGACAGAGGTCCTTCTGGTCGATCGTAAACCGGATCGGGGTATAGGGTGGCAACCTGTGTTGGATTTCACTCCCCCTGAAGTCACAGGTCTGCAGTTTGGGAGTCCTCCTGGACTCATCACGTTTGAGGCTCAGGCGTCGGCAGTGGCCAGGAGGGCTTTTGCACAATTGAGACTCGTGCGCCAACTGTGACCGTACCTTGTGAAGACTGATCTGGCCGGGGTGGTCCATGCCATGGTCACCTCCAGATTGGACTACTGTAATGCGCTCTACGTGGGGCTGCCCTTGAAAATGGCTCGGAAATTCCAACTTGTCCAACGGTCGGCGACCAGGTTGTTAACTGGTGCTCCTTACAGAGAGAGGTCAACCCTCCTGTTTAAGGAGCTCCATTTGCTGCCGTTCATCTTCCGGTCCCAATTCAAGGTGCAGGTGCTCACCTACAAAGCCCTAAACGGTTTGGGACCCGCCTACCTGCGTGACCGCATCTCCATATATGATCCCACACAATCCCTTCGATCATCTGGAGAGGCCCTGCTCACGATCCCACCTGCGTCGCAAGCGCGTTTGGTGGGGACGAGGGACAGGGCTTTCTCTGTGGTGGCCCCCCGACTCTGGAACTCTCTCCCCAAGGAAATTAGACACGCCCCAACATTGGCAGTCTTTAGGAAGAGCCAGAAGACTTGGCTGTTCCAGTGTGCCTTCCCAGAATAGGAAACTCCTAGCACCATGTCCCAAATGCACTTTGTCAGAGATTTAGGATTGTCTGCACATTGCACCTACCTCCAAAAACCTCTACATTTCACCTGTCATGTCCAGCACTTTTAAATTTTGTTCATTACATTGGCCTGACCTTAGGTTTTAAATGCGTCACGGTGTCATTGTTTTTAGTGTTTATTTTTGCTTGATGTTTATTATTTGCTTTATGAGTTTTATTGCTGTATTGTTATGTTGTTTGTTGGCGGCCTTGGCCTTTGTAAGCCGCATCGAGTCCTTCGGGAGATGTTAGCAGGGTATAAATAAAGATAATAATAATAAAATTGCTGGAAAAAAACATTAACAACCTCAGATATGCAGATGACGCCACTCTGATGGCCGAAAGCGAGGAGGAGCTGAGGAGCCTTCTAATCAAGGTGAAAGAAGAAAGCGCAAAAGCCGGGTTGCAGCTAAACATCAAAAAAACCAAGATTATGGCAACAAGTATGATTGACAACTGGGAAATAGAGGAAGAAAATGTGGAGGCCGTGACAGACTTTGTATTTCTAGGCGCAAAGATGACTGCAGATGCAGACTGTGGCCAGGAAATCAGAAGACGCTTCCTTCTTGGGAGGAGAGCAATGTCCAGTCTCGATAAAATAGTGAAGAGTAGAGACATCAGACTGGCAACAAAGATCCATTGCCTAGTCAAAGCCATGGTATTCCCTGTAGTCACCTACGGATGTGAGAGCTGGACCTTAGGGAAGGCTGAGCGAAGGAAGAGAGATGCTTTTGAGCTGTGGTGTTGGAGGAAAGTGCTGAGAGTGCGAGAAGATCCAACCAGTCCATCCTCCAGGAAAGAAAGCCCGACTGCTCACTGGAGGGAAGGAGACTAGAAACAAAGTTGAAGTACTTTGGCCACATCATGAGGAGACAGAAAAGCCTGGAGAAGACAATTATGCTGGGGAAAGTGGAAGGCAAAAGGAAGAGGGGCCGACCAAGGGCAAGATGGATGGATGGATGGCATCCTTGAAGTGACTGGACTGACCTTGAAGGAGCTGGGGGTGGTGACGGTCGTCAGGGAGCTCTGGCGTGGGCTGGTCCATGAGGTCACGAAGAGTCGGAGACGACTAAACGAATGAACAACAACAACAACAACAACAACAACAAATAATAATAATAATAATAATAATAATAATAATAGGTGGGGACGAGAGACAGGGCCTTCTCGGTGATTGCTCCCCGGCTGTGGAACTGCCTTCTTGGTGAGATCAGGTCGGCCCCCTCTCTTCTGTCCTTTAGAAGAATGGTAAAAACTTGGCTGTGGGACCAAGCTTTCGAGACAGGACAATAAAGCAGGAATAAGAAAGCTGACCAAGCCAATTAGATTTGACGCAGATGACTAGGACAGTTTTAAATGGTGTATTTCAATATTTTGATAAATGTTTTTTAATGTTTATGTATATGTATGTGAATCTATGTCCCGGTATTTAATGTTTGCCGTGTACATTCTGTGCTCCGCCCTGAGTCCCCTTCGGGGTGAGAAGGGTGGAATATAAATGTTTATAAATAAATAAATAAATAAGATTTCTTAACAATGTTTTCCTTTTGCAGGAGCTGCGAGAACGGGTCTTGAGGGGGAAGTACCGGATCCCCTTCTACATGTCAACGGACTGTGAGAACCTGCTGAAAAAATTCCTCATCCTCAACCCTAGCAAGAGAGGCACTTTAGAGGTTTGCTGGCAATGGCGGGGGGGGGGGGGCGTATGTTGTGGTTTGTGTGTGGAGATTTTCTTTGTTGGTTCTTACCCTTATTTATTTATTTATTTATTTATTTACTTATATACCGCTGTTCTCAGCCCGGGGGCGACTCACAGCGGTGTACAACATAGGGAGAACAAAATTCAAGACACAGTATAAAACAATTCACAATCCAACATTATACAAAACATCGTCATTACTACGAAAACCATTCAGCGTCGTCTCATCGTCCAACCCACAATCCAGTATCATTTTCCGTTGTTCCATTCCTATAGTCATTACCAATCATTGCACTTCTTGTTCGAACGCCTTCTTGAACAACCAGGTCTTTATTTCCTGTGGAATATCATCAGGGAAGGAGCCAGTCTAATGTCCACGGGAAGGGTGTTCCACAGCCGAGGAGCCACCACCGAGAAGGCCCTATCTCTCGTCCCCGCCAGCCGTGCTTGTGAAGCAGGCGGGATCGAGAGCAGGGCCTCCCCGGAAGATCTCAAAGTCCTGGTGGGCTCGTAGGCCGAGATGCGGTCAGATAGGTATCTTGGGCCGGAGCCGTTTAAGGCTTTATAGGCCAATGCCAGCACCTTGAATTGAGCCCGGTAGCAAATCGGCAGCCAGTGGAGCTGGTACAACAAGGGGGTTGTATGCTCCCTGCGTCCCGCTCCTGTTAGTATCATGGCTGCCGCACGTTGGACCAATTGAAGCTTCCGGGCCGTCTTCAAAGGCAACCCCACGTAGAGAGCGTTGCAGTAGTCTAAACGGGATGTAACCAGAGCGTGGACTACCATGGCCAAGTCAGACTTCCCAAGGTACGGGCGCAGCTGGCGCACAAGATTGGCCCATGTGGCATTGAAACACACCCCGGGTCGGGTTATACTTGAGTATATACGGTATATGATTTCAGTTCAGTATGTATGTTTTGATCAGTCACCTTTCCAGACCCAGATCCACTGTTTGTGGTATCTTTTTGAAAAAGTCCTGTTTCTTAGCTGGTAGGGAAGCTGTGAGACAATTGCCCCAATGAGAGGCAATTCCGGACATGCTGTGTGTCTATCCCATTATTTTGTTTAAAGCAACCTTTCCTGCCTGCATTCTAGCACGAAGAAGGCCTGTTTCATTTCCTAGGTTCATGCCTTTCTCTGCTGGGGTTGCAGTGCCCCCTGCCATCCGAAATTGCCTTTCAAAGCAGGCACGTAATTGAGAGGCCCTTTCAGCCCTGCTCTTGAATTAGAGAAAGAGGCTCCTTGCTATCTGGAAATGTGAGGGCTCCTGCTGTTCCTTGTCTATAGGAGCGGTTTTAACCCAGTTGGCTTTGAGGTCTACTTAGGTGTGAAAGGGCCAAAAAGTAAAAGAGACCAAGCTTGTAACTTTGATGTGGGAGGAGATCTGGTAATGCTCTCCTCACACATTGGATAAGCTGGAGTCTGAAGCCCAAAGAGCCTGTTTGCATACCTATTGTTGTTGTTGTTCATTCGTTCAGTCGTCTCCGACTCTTCGTGATCTCATGGACCAGCCCACGCCAGAGCTCCCTGTCGGCCGTTACCACCCCCAGCTCCTTCAAGGTCAGTCCAGTCACTTCAAGGATGCCATCCATCCATCTTGCCCTTGGTCGGCCCCTCTTCCTTTTGCCTTCCACTTTCCCCAGCATAATTGTCTTCTCTAGGCTTTCCTGTCTCCTCATGATGTGGCCATAGTACTTCAACTTTGTCTCTAGTATCTTTCCCTCCAGTGACATACAACTTTACATACAACTTTATGTATATTCTCGCAGTCCAAGGCACTCTCAGCACTTTCCTCTAACACCACAGCTCAAAAGCATCGATCTTCCTTCGCTCAGCCTTCCCTAAGGTCCAGCTCTCACATCCGTAGGTTACTACAGGGAATACCATGGCTTTGACTAGGCGGATCTTTGTTGCCAGTCTGATGTCTCTACTCTTTACGATTTTATCAAGACTGGACATTGCTCTCCTCCCAAGAAGGAAGCGTCTTCTGATTTCCTGGCCACAGTCTGCATCTGCAGTAATCTTTGCACCTAGAAATACAAAGTCTGTCACGGCCTCCACGTTTTCTCCCTCTATTTCCCAGTTGTCAATCATTCTTGTTGCCATAGTCTTGGTTTTTTTATGTTTAACTGCAACCCTGCTTTTGCACGTTCTTCTTTCACCTTGATTAGAAGGCTCCTCAGCTCCTCCTCGCTTTTGGCCATCAAGTGGTGTCATCTGCATATCTGAGGTTGTTAATGTTTCTTCCAGCAATTTTCACCCCAGCTTTGCATTCATCCAGCCCCGCACATCGCATGATGTGTTCTGCATACAAGTCAAAAAGGTTGGGTGAGAGGATGCAGCCTTGCCGTACGCCTTTCCCAATCTTGAACCAGTCTGTTGTTCCATGGTCAGTTCTGACTGTTGCTACTTGGTCCTTGTACAGATTCCTCAGGAGAGAGACAAGGTGGCTTGGGATGCCCATCCCACAAGAACTTGCCACAATTGATTATGATCCACACAGTCAAAGGCTTTAGAATAGTCAATGAAGCAGAAGTAGATGTTTTTCTGAAACTCCCTGCCTTTCTCCATTATCCAGCGGATATTGGCAATCTGGTCTCTCGTTCCTCTGCCTTTTCTGAACCCAGCTTGAACATCTGGCAACTAATAGGTAAATGGCAGCACAAACTTCCATGCAAACAGGACTCTTCCTTGTATTGTCAAAGGCTTTCATGGCTGGAATCACTAGGTTCTTGTGGGTTTTTTCGGGCTATAGGGCCATGTTCTAGAGGCATTTCTCCTGACGTTTCACCTGCATTTCAAACTACAAGAAAGGAGATTCCACCTGAACATGAGGAAGAACTTTCTGACTGTGAGAGCCATTCAGCAGTGGAACTCTCTGCCCTGGAGTGTAGGGGAGGCTCCTTCTTTGGAAGCTTTTAAACAGAGGCCAGATGGCCATCTGTCAGGAGTGCTTTGAATGCAATATTCCTGCTTCTTGGCAGAATGGGGTTGGACTGGATGGCCCATGAGGTCTCTTCCAACTCTATGATTCTATGATTCTAAGGTGTGTCCACAGCAAACACTTTACTGGCTGTTGTATTGAATCACACGTCGGACACTTCCCAAGTGTCTAGGACTGTGTGATGTATTGGCGAATAATGCCTACAGATCCCAGTTAGGTGTCCTTTTGCAGCTGGCAGATGGCAATTTTGTCAGCACCGATTGTGTTTAAGTGCAGACCAAGGTATTTAGGCACTGCACCCAGTGTGCCGATCACCACTGGGACCACTTTGACTGGCTTGTGCCAGAGTTTTTGCAGTTCGATCTTTAAATCCTCATATCGTGTCAGCTTTTCCAGTTGTTTCTCTTCAATCCTGCTGTCATTATTATTAATGGCCTTGCAGCTTCAAAGCATGGATGGTTGCTGCCTGGGGGAATCCTATGTTGGGAGGTGTTAGCTGGCCCCGATTGACAGGAATTGTAAACAAGAATCAATCAGGGCCAGACAATAGGAAAAACTTTCTGGCTGTAAAAGCGGTTCAAAAGTGGAACTCACTGCCTCAGAGTGTGGTGAAGTCTTCTTCTTTGGAGGCTAGATGGCTTGCTGTGTTTTATGGGCTCTGTTTTCCAGAAGCATTCTCTCCTGGCATTTTGCCCACATCTATGGCAGGCATCCCATTATGTGTGTCTATCCCATTATTTTGTTCCTGGTCCTTAATTTTTCCAATCTCCATGTGTCTTGGAACAGTGTCCTTCCAAAGAGATGTTCAGTGTGTTTTTGAAGGCTTTCATGACCGGAATAATTGGGTTGCTGTGAATTTCCCGGGCTTTATGGCCATGTTCCAGAAGCATTCTCTCCTGATGTTTTGCCCACATCTATGGCAGGCATCCTCAGAGATTCCTGGCCCTTGTTTTTCCAATCTCTGTGTGTCTTGGAACAGTTTCTCACTGTAGAAATATTCAATGTGTTGTTGCGAAGGCTTTCATGGCCAGAATCACTGGGTTTCTGTAAGCTTCGGATTGCTGTAACCAAATTGTTTTAAAAAGGAAAGCACTTGTCTCATTGCATCCCACGAGTTGGGTCAACGTATCCCCTTCTCTTCCTTGTAGCAAATCATGAAAGACCGCTGGATGAATGTGGGGCATGAAGACGATGAATTAAAGCCTTATGTGGAGCCTTTACCCGACTACAAGGACCCTCGGCGGACAGGTAACGTGCCAAGGCAGGATGGCAGCATTCCTCCCATTGTGCATCTCTCTTAGTGATTAATCTTTCAAGACTTTTTGACTTCTCCTTTTCCCCCTTTTTTCCCATGTATTGCCTTACAGAGCTCATGATCTCCATGGGATACACCCGAGAGGAAATCCAGGACTCGTTAGTCAGCCAGAAGTATAACGAAGTCATGGCTACATATCTGCTGCTAGGATACAAAAATTCAGAGGTGGGTGCTTTGGCTCTCAGAAGCTGTGTGGTTCATTTGTTTTGCATGCATTTGAATACTATCTGGCCCAGACTGAGAGGCGAATGGAAACAGAATGATTACTATTATGCTTGTTAGTTATTGGGTTGCTGTAAGTTTCCTGGATTGTCTGACCATGTTTCATAAGGATTTTCTCCTGACGTTTCGCCTGCATCTATGGCAGACATCCTCAGAGGTTGTGAGATCTGTTGGAAACTAGGAAAATGGGGTTTATATATCTGTGGAAAGTTCAAGGTGGGAGAAAGTACTTTTGTCTGTTGGAGGCAAGTGTGAATGTTGCAAGTGTCAACCTTGATCAGCATAATAATAATAATAATAATAATAATTTTGCAAAAGCCGCAAAACAAACCTCTATACAGGGGTCTCAAACTTTTTAAACAGAGGGCCAGGTCACAATTCCATCAAATTGTTGGAGGGCCGGATAATAATTTGAAAAATACATGAATGAATTCCTATACACACTGCACATATCTTATTTGTAGTGCGAAAACACTTAAAAACAATACAATAATTAAATTGAAGAACAATTTTAACAAATATAAACTTATTAGTATTTCAGTGGAAAGTGTGGGCCTGCTTTTGGCTCTTGAGATAGGGTTGTTGTTGTTGTTGTTGTGTGCTTTCAAGTCATTTCAGACTCAGGTTGACCCTGAGCGAGGGCCGGCTAAATTACCTTGGAGGGCCGTATCTGGCCCCCGGGCCGTAGTTTGAGGACCCCTGCTCTATACAACTTGGATTGATTACAAAAAAGCATTTGACTCACTGCCACATTGTTGGATTATCAAATGTCTAGATGTCATTGGGGTTTGTGAAAATATTAGAAAGTTCACCGAAAATGCAATGAGACAATAGACAATAGAAATGCAATGAGACAATAGAAAACTGAGTTGTTTGTGGGCAATGAAATCTATGGAACTGAAGGAATTTTCCAGGGTGATTCACTGTCACCACTGTGAAGGCCTACCTCTTTCTTTGCCCCTTTTGAGCTCCTCTCTCAGTAGCCCATTCTCCCTCAGGCACACATTCTTCTTATCTCAACCAGGGTTAAAACCAGCTAGGAGCCCCCCGTGGTGCAGCGGGTTAAACCCCTGTGCCGGCAGGACTGAAGACTGACATGTTGCAGGTTTGAATCCGGGGAGAGCGCGGATGAGCTCCCTCTATCAGCTCCAGCTCCTCATGCGGGGACATGAGAGAAGCCTCCCACAAAAATGACAAAACACCAAAAACATCCGGGCGTTCCCTGGGCAACGTCCTTGCAGACGGCCAATTCTCTCACAGCAGAAGCAACTTGCAGTTTCTCAAGTCACTCCTGGCACAACAACAACAAAAAACAAAACAAAACGGGGTTTTACCAATTTTATCAATTTTACTCCTAGCACATTTAGCCACCCCATGTCATAGAATCATAGAATCAAAGAGTTGGAAGAGACCTCATGGGCCATCCAGTCCAACCTCATTCTGCTAAGAAGCAGGAATATTGCATTCAAATCACCCCTGACAGATGGCCATCCAGCCTCTGCTTAAAAGCTTCCAAAGAAGGAGCCTCCACCACACTCCGGGGCAGAGAGTTCCACTGCTGAACGGCTCTCACAGTCAGGAAGTTCTTCCTAATGTTCAGATGGAATCTCCTCTATCATGTTGTTTTGAGACTGTTTATTTTATTTTGTCATTTCATGTGTTATTTTGATGCTATTTTGTTTCTTTTAATTTTGTTTTGTTGTATTGTTACTTTTGGGCTTGGCCTCATGTTAGCAGCCCTGAGTCCCCTTTGGTGGCGGGGTATAAATAAAGTTTATCATTATTATTTGAAACACAACAAAATCCATTGTTTCATCTGCTGTGATCTATTGTTTCATCTGCCTCTTTGCAGATTCTACATTTGTGATCTATCATCTATTATTATTATTATTATTATTATTATTATTATTATTATTATTATTATTTGAAACACAACAAGATGAGTCCACAGCAGACACTCTGCTGGCTGTTGAATTGGATCACACGTTGGACACTTCCCAAGTGTCTAGGATTTTGTGATGTATTGGCGAATAATGCGTGCAGATCCCAGTAAGGTGGCCTTCTGCAGCTGGTAGATGGTAATTTTGTCAGCGCCGATTGTGTTTAAGTACAGGCCAAGGTCTTTAGGCACTGCACCCAGTGTGCCGATCACCACTGGGACCACTTTGACTGGCTTGTGCCACAGTCTTTGCAGTTCGATCTTCAAATCCTCATAGTGTGATATCTTTTCCAGTTGTTTCTCTTCAATCCTGCTGTCACCTGGGATTGCAACATCGACAATCCATACTTTGTTTTTTAACATAATCGTGAGGTCAGGAGTATGTGCTCCAAAACTCTGTCTGTCTGAATTCGGAAGTCCCAGAGTAGCTTGACGTGTTCATTCTCTGTAACTTTTTCCGGCTTGTGATCCCACCAGTCCTTTGTCGCAGGCAGATGGTGTTTGTGGCACAAGTTCCAATGAATAATCTGAGCAACGGTGTTGTGCCTCTGCTTGTAGTTTGTCTGCGCAATCTTCTTGCAGCAGCTGAGGATGGGATCTACTGTTTCATCAGCTTCCTTGCAGAGTCTACATTTGGGATCTGTTGTCGACTTTTCAATTCTGACTTTGATGGCATTGGTTCTAATGGCTTGTTCTTGGGCTGCCAGAATCAGCCCCTCCGTCTCCATTATTCTTATTCTTATTCTTATTGGGTTTTTCCGGGATATATGGCCATGTTCTAGAGGCATTTTCTCCTGACGTTTCGCCTGCATCTATGGCAAGCATCTTCAGATGTAGTGAGGTCTGTTGGAAGTAGGAAAATGGGTTTATATATCTGTGGAAAGACCAGGGTGGGACAAAGGACTTTTGTCTGCTGGAGCTAGGTGTGAATGTTTCAACTGACCACCTTGATTAGCATTTAATGGCTTGGAAGTTCTGAGGATGCTTGCCATAGATGCAGGCGAAACGTCAGGAGAAAATGCCTCTAGATCATGGCTCAAACCGCATTGAGTCGCCTGACTGGGCTGAAAAATGCGGTATAGAAATAAAGCAAATAAATATAGCCCAGAAAACCTACAACAACCCAGTGATTCCGGCCATGAAAGCCTTCGACAATACATTATTATTATTATTATTATTATTATTATTATTATTATTATTATTATTACTGACACAAAACACAGTATGTCACAGCAAATGAGATCTCTATATGCTGGATTTTGTATCACAAAGTCAAACACTTCCCAAGTGTCTAGGACTGTATGATGTATTTTCAAATGATGTGTGCAGATAAAGTAAAGTGGCCTTTTGCAGTTGACAGATCATGATTTTGTTAATGTTTATTGTTTCCAAATGCCGGCTGAGATCTTTTGGCATGGCACCCAGTGTGCCAATGACCACTGGGACCACCTGTACTGGTTTATGCCAGAGCCTTTGCAGTTCAATTTTGAGGTCCTGATAACAACTGAGCTTTTCTTGTTGTTTTTCCTGAATGCGACTGTATGGTGACATTATTATTATTTATTGTTATTATTATTATTATTATTATTATTATTAATTAGATGATGATGATTGTTATTATTATTATTATTATTATTATTATTATTATTATTATTATTATTTGTAAGCTGCTCCAAGTGCCTTTGTGGCTGACACACAATGAGAAAAAAATAAATATAAAAGTCAAACTCTGTTGTTCAAAACTTGAGTGTCTTCTGTCCTCGCTCCCATCATGCTATCTTTTTTCTCTTCCTGGTTCTTTTTCAGCTTGACAATGATACTATTACGCTCAAGCCACGGCCCCAACCTGAACTCACGAACAACACCGCCCCGTCCCCGTCCCACAAGGTACAGCGCAGTGTATCAGCCAACCCCAAGCAACGCCGTTTAAGTGACCAGGGTAAGCTTCGGTACTTTGAGCCTCACTTTTGAAGCAAAGGAGGGCTTGCTGCCATAGCGGTGAGGAGGAGGGCTCACATGAAAAAGATCTTGGAGTCCTTGTGGACAACAAGTTAAACATGAGCCAATAATGTGATGTGGCAGCAAAAAAAGCCAATGGGATTTTGGCCTGCATCAATAGGAGCATACTGTCTAGATATAGGGAAGTCATGCTCCCCATGCTCTATTCAACTTTGGTTAGACCACACCTGGAATATTGTGTCCAATTCTGGGCACCACAATTCAAGAGAGGTATTGACAAGCTGGAATGTGTCCAGAGGAGGGCGACTAAAATGATCAAGGGTCTGGAGAACAAGCCCTATGAGGAGCGGCTTAAGGAGCTGGGCATGTTTAGCCTGAAGAAGGAGATATGATAGCTATGTATAAATATGTGAGAGGAAGCCACAGGGAGGAGGGAGCAAGCTTGTTTTCTGCTTCCTTGGAGACTAGGACGCGGAACAATGGCTTCAAACTACAAGAGAGGAGATTACATCTGAACATGAGGAAGAACTTCCTGACTGTGAGAGTCATTCAGCAGTGGAACTCTCTGCCCCTGGAGTGTGGTGGAGGTTCCTTCTTTGGAAGCTTTTAAACAAATGCTGGATGGCCATCTGTCAGGGGTGCTTTGAATGCAATATTCCTGCTTCTTGGCAGAATGGGGTTGGACTGGATGGCCCATGAGGTCTCTTCCAACTCTTTGATTCTATGATTCTGTGACTTGGATGTGTGTGTCAGGACCAGGCGTTTTGCAGATTCAGCAGGCATTGCCAATTTTGGGGATGAGGTTCTTGGTTTGAGCCTGCCACTTTTGGACTCTCGCTTGCTGAGGTGTTCCAGCGAGTGTCTCTGTAGACCTTAGAAAACTATTTCTTGATTTAAGTCTTTGGCGTGCTGGCCGATACCCAAACAAGGGATGAGCTGGAGATGTGGCTGAGAGGAGATATGATAGCCATGTATAAATATGTGAGTGGAAGCCACAGGGAGGAGGGAGCAAGCTTGTTTTCTGCTTCCTTGGAGACTAGGATGCAATAGAACAATGGCTTCAAACTACAAGAAAGGAGATTCCATCTGAACATGAGGAAGAACTTCCTGACTGTGAGAGCCGTTCAGCAGTGGAACTCTCTGCCCCGGAGTGTGGTGGAGGCTCCTTCTTTGGAAGCTTTTAAACAGAGGCTGGATGGCCATCTGTCAGGGGTGATTTGAATGCAATATTCCTGCTTCTTGGCAGAATGGGGTTGGACTGGAGGGCCCAGGAGGTCTCTTCCAACTCTTTGATTCTATGATTCTATGATTCTATGTTTATTATGGAGCCCCGGTGGCGCAGTGGGTTAAAGCACTGAGCTGCTGAGCTTGTTGATCGAAAGGTCGCAGGTTCGATTCCGGGGAGCGGCGTGAGCTTCCGCTGTCAGCCCTAGCTTCTGCCAACCTAGCAGTTCGAAAACATGCAAATGTGAGTAGATCAATAGGTACCGCTCCGGCGGGAAGGTAACGGCGCTCCATGCAGTCATGCTGGCCACATGACCTTGGAGGTGTCTACGGACAACGCTGGCTCTTCGGCTTAGAAATGGAGATGAGCACCACATCCCAGAGTCAGACATGACTGGGCTTAATGTCAGGGGACTACCTTTACCTTTACCTATGTGTTTTTATGGTTGGAAACCGGGCTGAGTCCCTCAATGAGGTTGAGAAGTTCAGAATAGAAAACTTTGAAATAAATAAATTTGATTCTATGATTCTGTGACTTTGATGTGTGTGTCAGGACCAGGCGTTTTGCAGATTCAGCAGGCATTGCCAATTTTGGGGATGAGGCTCTGGGTTTGAGCCTGCCACTTTTGGACTGTGCATGTAGCAGGGCTCAGGTTGCATTGAAGCAGGTGGTCTGTGGATTGAGGAGCTGGGTTTGAGCCTGCCACTTTTGGACTCTCGCTTGCTGAGGGTTTCCAGTGAGTGTCTCTGTAGACCTTAGAAAACTATTTCTTGATTTAAGTCATTGACGTGCTGGCTGATACCCAAACAAGGGATGAACTGGAGATGTCTCTGCCTTGGTCCTTTCATTATTGGCTGCTACTTCTCGGCGGATGTCAGGTGGTGCAATACCGGCTAAATAGTGTAATTTCTCCAGTGGTGTTGGGTGCAGACACCCCGTGATAATGCGATATGTCTCATTAAGAGTCACATCCACTGTTTTAGCGTGGTGAGATGTGTTCCACACTGGGCATGCGTACTCAGCACAATAGTTGGTAGGGCACAACAAAAGGGCAAAGGACGACAGTATAATTTTGCAACACTGACCTGTTTCTGCTCTCTCTTCTTCCTTGTCTCTTTCCTGCCGCAGTACCAACCATCCCAACCTCCTCGTCGTATTCCAAGAAAATGCAGGCAGCCAATGCGGAGAACAAGCGTCCGGAAGAGGAGCGGGAGGCTGGGCGCAGCAAGGCGGGCAGCACGGTCAAAGTCCCTGCCAGCCCACTGCCTGGCCTCGAGAGGAAAAAGAGCACCCCTTCGCCTTCCACAGTTAGTCTCTTCAGGATGCGGGAGGGCTGGCTAGGGGCAGGTTGTCACCCTTGAGAGCACCCTTGGTGGTGACCCCCAACCATAACATTATTTTTGTTGCTACTTCGTAACTGTCATTTTGCTACTGTTATGAATCATAATGTAAATACCTGACATGCAGGATGGATTTTCATTCACTGGACCACATTTGGTGCAAATACCCGATAAATCCCAGCAACTACAACTCCCAAATGACAACATTTTTTTTTTTGAGTGATGGTCACTCCTTGGGTTAGTAGGTGTCTTGTGACCAAATTTGGCAGCAATTCGTACAATGGTTTTTGAGTTCTGTTAATCCCACAAACTAACACTACATTTTTATTTTTATAGATTTACTAGCCGTCCCCTGCCACGCGTTACTGTGGCCCACGTGGAGGTTCTGTGTGGGAGGTTTGGCCCAATTCTATCCTTAGCAGGGTTCAGAATGTTCTGTGATTGTAGGTTAACTATAAATCCCAGAAACTACAACTCCCAAATGTTAAGATTCTATTTTCCCCAAACTCCACCAGTGTTCACATTTGGGCATATTGTACTATGCTAATAATATAATATTGTGTGTGTGTGTGTGTGTATTAGCCGCCCCCTGCCATGCATTGCTGTGGCCCACATGGGGTTTCTGTGTGGGAGATTTGGCCCAATTCGTTCTATTGTTGGTGGGGTTCAGAATGCTCTGTGATTGTAGGTGAACTATAAATCCCAGAAACTACAACTCCCAAATGTCAAGATTCTATTTTCCCCAAACTCCACCAGTGTTCACATTTGGGCATATTGAGTATTTGTGTAGAGTTTGGTCCAGATCCATCATTGTTTGAGTCCACAGTGCTCTCTGGATGTAGGTGAACTACAACTCCAAAACTCAAGGTCAATGCCCACCAAACCCTTCCAGTTTTTTCTTTTGGTCATGGGAGTTCTGTGTGCCACGTTTGGTTCAATTCCATCATTGGTGGAGTTCAGAATGCTCTTTCATTATAGGTGAACTATAAATCACAACAACTACAACTCCCAAATGACAAAATCATAATTTTTTTGAGTGATGGTAACTCCTTGTGTAGTGAGACATTTTGTTGCCAAATTTAGTGTGATTTCATTCATTGGTTCTTTTGTTTTTAAGGTACTCATTATGCACAGAGCATTTATATATATATAGATTTATTTACGACATTTATATGCCGCCCTTCTCACCCCGAAGGGGACTCAGAGCAGCTTAAAATATATATAAATGTAATGTTCGTTTGTGGGATTAACAGAACTCAAAAACCACTGGACAAATTGACACCAAATTTGGACAGCATATACCTAACAACCCAATGTAGGTCCTTCACTCAAAAAAACTGATTTTGTCATTTGGGAGTTGTAGTTGCTGGGATTTATAGTTCACCTACAATCAAAGAGCATTCTGAACCCCACCAACGATGGAACTGAACCAAACTTGGCACACAGTTCTCCCATGACCAACAGAAAATACTGGAAGGGTTTGGTGGGCAGTGTCCTTTGGTTTTGGAGTTGTAGTTCACCTACATCCAGAGATCACTGTGGATTCAAACAATGATGGATCTGGACCAACCTCTACACAAATACTCATATGCCCAAATGTGAACACTGGTGGAGTTTGGGGAAAATAGAATCTTGATATTTGGGAGTTGTAGTTGCTGGGATTTATAGTTCACCTACAATCACAGAGCATTCTGAACCTCACCAACGATAGAATTGGGCCAAACCCCCCACGTAGAACCCCCTTGTGGGCCACAGTAACGTGTGGCAGGGGACGGCTTTTTAATATATATATATATATATATATATATATATATACACACACACACACACACACACACACACACACACACACACACACAATATTATATTATATTATTAGCATAGTACAATATCAGTATTATATATTATTTATTTGTTTGTTTGTTTATTAATCGAATTTATATACCGCCACTCCCCGAATGCTCAGAGTGGTTTACAACATACATATGCAATACATTACATTTAAAAACAAAGAAAAATTTCAATCAATATATGACTCTGTTATACTATACCATTATATTGTAATATTAATAGTAATATTACATGTAATATAAAATATATAATTATAATATCATATTATTATTATCAAATCATTTATTTCGGTCATGGACCAGCACAGGAAATAGAGTCACATTTTCATATTATTATTATTATTATTATTATTATTAGTATATTGTATTACATTATAATATTATAAATATGGATATATAGGGCTTGCAAATATATAGAATATAGGTATATAGGGCTTGCAAATACAAATATACAGGTATATGGCAATCTCTAGATAAAGAAATATGATGTATATACTCAGTTTTATCATATTTTATCATAATAATATAAAATATATAATATCATTATTCTTAGTGTTATATTGTATTACATTATAATATTATAGATATTATAAAATATTATAAAAACTTCCTTTGGAGGCTTTTAAAGAGAGGCTGGATGGCCATCTGTTGGGGCTGTTTGAATGTGATTTTCCTGCTTCTTGGCAGAATGGGGTTGGACCGGATGGCCCACAAGGTCTTTTCCAACTCTGTGATTCTTTTTATGCATTTTGCAATGAGTCACAATTTATTTTTAAAGAGGTGGTGATTCCAAGAGGTCCAAAAAGCAAGAACCAGAAAGAGGAGCAGAGTTTTGAAAGTTGTTTTTGGGAGGACCGAGGTGCCCTTGGAAGTGCGCTATTCCCCTTGTTTTCCGATGCAGCAATGAATGAAGGTCTCCCCTGACCTGATCTTCCCACTCTTTGCAGAACAGCGTCCTCTCGACCAGCACAAACAGAAGCCGCAACTCACCCTTGCTTGATCGAGCCAGCTTGGGCCAGAACTCCATCCAGAACGGCAAAGATAGGTAAGGAGAAAGAGGTTGAATAACATAGCTCACAAAATCCAGGAATCCAGTATGGTTCAGGAGGTGGGTAATAATCAAGTTCTGCTGTGCAAGTGCAGCAGAATGGAAATGATGACTCTATGGCACGAACTGTGTGGGTCCCGCATATTTTTTTAAATATTCCACCTGAACATCAGGAAGAACTTCCTGACTGTGAGAGCTGTTCAGCAGTGGAACTCTCTGCCTCGGAGTGTGATGGAGGCTTTTAAACAGAGGCTGGATGGCCATCTGTCTGGGGTGCTTTGAATGCAGTTTTCCTGCTTCTTGAAAATGGGGTTGGAGTGGATGGCCCACAAGGTCACTTCCAACTCTATGATTCTATGATCTGGACTGCATTTCGTCTTCCTGCCAGGCCTGTTGTTGTGTGCCTTCTAGGCCAAGCATGGGCAAACTTTCTAACTTGTGGGTCGCATGCTAGCACTCCCAATGATGGAAGGAAGGAAGGAAGGAGGAAGGAAAGGGAGAAAGGATGGAAGGAGAAACAAGGAGAGGGGGCAGAAAGAGGGAAGGGAGGATGGCCAAAAGGGTGGAAGGGAAGGATGGAAGGAGAAAGAGGAGGGAGGGAAGGATGAAAGGGAGAAAGGAGAGAAAGGGAGAGAGGGAAGAAGGAAGGAAAGAGAAGGAAGGAAAGACGAAAGGGAAGGGAGGGGAGGAAGGAAGGACGAAGGAAGGAAGGAAGGAAAAGAAAAGAGGGAAGGAGTGAGGAAAGGGAGAAAGAGGGAGAAAAGAGGGAAGGAGTGAGGAAAAAGGGAAGGAAAGAGAAAGGGAAGAAAGGAAGGATGAAAGGGTGGAAGGAGAAAGTGGAGGAAGGGAGGGAGGTAAGAAGAAAGGAAAGAGAGAAGGAAGAAAAGACAAAGGGGAAGGGAGGGAGGAGCAGGAGGGAAAAAAGGAAGGACAGAAGGGTGGAAGGAGAAAAAGAGAGGGAAGGGAGGGAGGGAAGGAGGGAGGAAAGAGAAGGAAGGAAAAGGAAAAGAAGGGAGGAAGGAAGGAAGGGAAGGAAGAAGAAGAGGAAGGAAGGAAAGAGGGAGAAAAAGGGAAGGAGAGGAAAGGGAGAAAGAGGGAGAAAAGAGGAAGGAGGAAAAAGGGAAGGAAAGAGAAAGGGAAGAAAGGAAGGATGAAAGGGTGGAAGGAGAAAGTGGAGGAAGGGAGGGAGGTAAGAAGAAAGGAAAGAGAGAAGGAAGAAAAGACAAAGGGGAAGGGAGGGAGGAGCAGGAGGGAAAAAAGGAAGGACAGAAGGGTGGAAGGAGAAAAAGAGAGGGAAGGGAGGGAGGGAAGGAGGGAGGAAAAAGAAAAGGAAGTAAAGACAAAAGGGAGGAAAGGACAAAAAGGTGGAAGGAAGGAGGAAGGAACGAGAAGGAAGGGAGGATGGAAGGGAAGGAAAAAGAGGGAGGGAAGGAGGAAGGAATGATAGAATGGTGAGAGACAGGAGGGTCTGAGAAAAGAGCCCAAGGGAAAGAGAAGAAGGGAAAGACAAGAGGGAGGGAGGGAAAGGAAGAAGGGAGAAAGCGGGAGGTAAGGCAGAAAGAAAGAGAAGGAAAAGAAAAGGAGGAAGAAGAAGGGAAGGGAAGGAAAGGAGGAAGGAAGGAAGGAAAGAAAAAAAAGGGAAGGAAGAAAGGAAGGAAGGAAGGAAGGAAGGAAGGAAGGAAGGAAAGGGAAGGAAGGAGAAAGATGGAGGGAGGAAAGAGGGAACAAAAGAAGAAAGGGAGAAGGAAGGATAGAAGGAGAAAGAGGGAGGAAGGAGAAGGAAAGAGGAAGGACAAAGGGGAGGGAAGGAAGGAGAAAGGAAGAAGAGAAAAAGGGGAAGGAAGAAGGGAAAGAGGAAGAGAGGGAAGGAGAAAGGAGGAAGAGAGGGAAGGAAGAAAGGGAGGGAAGGAGGAAGGAAGAAGGGATGAAAGGTGGAAGGGAAGAATTAAGAGGGAGGGAAGGAGGAAAGAAAGAGAGAAGGAAGGAAGGTTAGGATGGTGAGAGAGAGAGAAGGGCCTGAGAAGAGTCCAAGGGGCTGCATACGGCCCCCGGAATTGGGTTTGCCCATGCCTGTTCTAGTCATTTCCTATTCACTGTGACCCTAAGGCGAACCTATCATGGAGTCTTCCTGGGAAGGTTTGTTCAGTTGGGGTTTGCCTTTCCCTTCCTTTGAGGCCCCATCTACACTGCTATATAATGCAGATTGAACCGGATTATATGAGTTCTACATTACCATTCAATGCAGTTGATCTGCATTCTGAAACTGCATTACATGGCACTATAGACAGGTCCTCGGAAAGTGTGGATTGTGTTGGGGCCATCAAATGGAGTTCTTTGGCTGAATAGGGATTCGGAGTCCTAGTCCAACACTGAAACTACTGCACCACACTGACTCACCGGGCCTATAATCCTAGATGCACTGTCATAATTCCAGACAAGAATCAATCAGGACCAGCTGACACCTCCCAACAAAGGATTCCCCCAGGCAGGAAGCAGCCAAGCTTTGCAAGGCCATTCAGTGCTAAAAGATGGCCAATTGCAACATTCACACCTTCCTCAAACAGTTAGTTCTTTCTCCCACCCTGGACATCATTCCACAGATACATAAACCCCACGTGCATAGTTTCCAACAAACCTCACAACCTCTGAGGATGCCTGCCATAGATGTGGCGAAACGTCAGGAGAGAATGCTTCTGGAACATAGCCACACAGCCCAGAGAACTCCCAGCAACCCAGTGATTCGGGCTGTGAAAGGCTTCCACAACACATTGAACTTTTCATAAGCCGAGTCCAGAAAGCCAAGTAATCATAATAATAATAATAATAATAGTAATAATAATAATAATAATAATAATAATAATAATAATAATACTTTATTTATACCCCACTACCATCTCCCCAAGGGACTTGGTGCGGCTTACATGAGGCTGAGCCCACAGTACATCAGCAAAAGCAACAACAACAACAATACAAAACAATATGAAACTCATAAACAAAAAGCAGCAGTAAACATTAACAATAGCACAACAACGCAACGACGTGCTTTTTGGGTTGACGCCTGTAGAGATTGGTTGGGTGACTTTCAGGCCACCATGTACACAAGCACATCACCAGTGTGCCAACCTAGAGGATAAGCATATGTTGGCAACGGAGGAGAACCAACTTTTTTTTTTTTTTGCTACGGCGTAAACACAGGATATGTTTACAATCATCCCTCTCCAATCCCTCTCCAACAATAATAATAATAATAATAATAATACTTTATTTATACCCCGCCTCCATCTCCCCAAGGGACTCGGAACGGCTTACATGAGGCCAAGCCCAACAACACATCAATAAACAAAAAAGCAATAAACAAAAAATAACAACAATGCCAGAAACACAGCTTAATGGTATAACATTAGAAAATGTTGACCCTTTCCACCCCCTTGGCAGCCACCTCTCCACAAAAGCCAACATTGACACTGAAATACAACACCACTTGAGCTCTGCAAGTGCAGCTTTTTTCCGAATGAAGCAGAGAGTGTTTGAGGACTGGGACATCCATAGGGATACCAAGGTGCTTGTTGATAAAGCTATTGTCCTCCCAACCCTGCTATACACCTGCGAGACGTGGACTGTCTACAGACGTCACACCCAACTCATGGAACGATTCCATCAGCACTACCTCCGGAAAATCCTGCAAATTTTTGGGAAGACTAGTGGACAAATGTCAGCATGCTGGAAGAAGCCAACCACCATCAGCATTGAATCAGTGGTCCTGCCCCATCAACTCCGCTGGATTGGCCACGTTGTCTGGATGTCCGACCACCATCTCCCAAAGCAGTTGCTCTACTCTGAACACAAGAATGGAAAACGGAATGTTGATGGGCAGGAAAAGAGATTTAAAGATGGCCTCAAAGCCAAGCTTAAAAACTCTGACATAGACATTGAGAGTTGGGAAGCCCTGGCCCTTGAGCTCTCCAGCTGGAGGTCAGCTGTGACCAGCAGTGCTGTAGATTTTGATGAGGCATGAATGGAGGGTCGCTTCAATGCTGGTGGTCATTGTTTCTTCCAACACGCTGATATTTTCCTGCCTGCCTTCCCAAGAGATTTGTAGGATTTTGTGGAGGCAACGCTGATGGAATCGTTCGAGGAGTTGAGTGTGACGTCTGTAGACAGTCCACGTTTTGCAGGGGTATAACAGGGTTGGGAGGACAATGGCTTTATAAACAAGTACCTGGCTCCTCAGTGTGCTATTATGATCCACATAATCTATATCCTTTGCTGGACCGGCCACGTTGTCTGGATGCCCGACGACCGTCTCCCAAAGCAGTTGCTCTACTCCGAACTCAAGAACGGAAAACGGAATGTTGGTAGGCAGGAAACAAGATTGAAAGATGGGCTCAAAGCCAACCTCAAAAACTCTGACATAGACACTGAGGGCTGGGAAGCCTTGAGCGCTCCAGCTGGAGGTCAGCTGTGACCAGCAGTGCTGTAGAATTTGATGAGGCATGAATGGAGGGTGGCTTCAATGCTGGTGGTCTTTGCATCTTCCAACACGCTGATATTTTCCCGCCTGCCTTCCCAAGAGATATGTAGGATTTTGTGGAGGCAGCGCTGATGGAATCGTTCGAGGAGTTGAGTGTGACATTTGTAGACAGTCCACGTTTCGCAGGGGTATAACAGGGTTGGGAGGACAATGGCTTTATAAACAAGCACCTGGCTCCTCAGTGCACTATTATGATCCACATAATCTATCTCCTTTGCTGGGCCAGCCACGTTGTCCAGATGCCCGACCACCGTCTCCCAAAGCAGTTGCTCTACTCCGAATTCAAGAACGGAAAACGGAATGTTGGAGGACAGGAAAAGAGATTGAAAGATGGGCTCAAAGCCAACCTTAAAAACTCTGGCATAGACACTGAGAACTGGGAAGCCCACTAAATTCGACAACTATCGGCCAGTTTCCAATCTCCCCTTCTTGGGCAAAGTCTTGGAACGTGTGGTGGCCTCACAAC